GTCAAAAGTAAGAGAAATTACCTGTCTTGTCACAGAGGAGCAGCAAGAGATGGACAGAATAAGTAGCCAAACTGGAGACCACCAGCAACAGAATACTGTGAGAAACACACGCAAGGTTCCTCTATTGAGAAGTCCTTCATTTCTATTCTTGTGTAAAAATATCATTTTTTGCATGGCTCTGTTTGTGTCATTGTAAGTGCCTTACTGGAACTGCAATTTTTGCTTAAAAAAACTGAGGGGCATATCAAAACAATTTTCTGTTGTAATCAATTATGCCACAAATGTTGTCAACACAGCTGAACTTGTATTGAATCAGGAACACTGTGTGCATGTACCTGAATCCAATGATGCCCGTATTGGCCATAGCATAGGAGAGACCCAGGATACCACTACCCATGATGGCATTCATCAGGTTAAAGGCAGAAGACCAAAAGGACGCACCTCTAGCCTGAACACCCTGTGAGGAAGATAAACAGACCAGGAATTAGACATGACAGTAGAGCAAACTGAGACAAAATAGATCCTAGATGTTATGCAAGCCACAAGGCATGCAAAAAGAATGTCATTATAGTCTGCTTACACACCAAGTTACTGAAAGCACAAAGGGAAATGAAATCTTTGCAAAGACAAAATAAAACTGCATAAGATCAGCATGTGATGAAGAGAAAATTATTAGAAAGCATGAGGTAGCAAATGACAATGCACATACTCTGTGTGCATGAGAGCACAGCTTTATGGTTTTACAGCAACATCAAATATAATTTGTAAATACTAGTACAGCGGTGCATGTAAAGTTACACTGGTTTAGACTAGATTTACTTTAATAATGTACATTAATTTACTTTGGCATGTTTACAATTTATTTTCTTTTATGCCTCTGTAAAGCAATTTGTAAATATTATTTTGTGTAGGCCTATACTTTGTAAATGCTGTGCTATACAAATCATCAGCAGAGAAGCAGCTAAGACTAAGAGTTTCTTAATCATTTTAACAAAAAGAATAAAAAATTAACAATAACAGAGTTAACACATAACCTGGAAACACAGCCTCAGTTCTTTTTAATATATAATTACGTCCAAAAAAATCTAAAAATTTTATAATAGAATAAATAAATGCATAAAATATAATACATACATATGGAACATATTTCCGCCACATAAGGAAAAAAACTTTGTTCAGTCATAATTATGACACGAGTCTCTATGACACGTCAATTTTGCTATCATAGTTATGACTTTTTATTTAATAATGTTGACTTTAGGTCATAATTAACTTTTATGCTATAATTATTTACCAACGCACGGTCTTGGGCGAAACATTAAATGTTTACATACATAATACTAGATTATATAAAAAAAACATAGTAAACCTAGGTGTCAGATTTTCAGCATTTAGTTATTATTTACAAATATGTTCACGTTGGACAAAAAGGACCATCTTTCGTTAAATGTCACTTGTTCTTCTTGTTATTTTTAATATTACAGTTATCAGGATATACAGGCTTTGGTTTACCTGTGCCGCTAACAGCGGTCTGCTCTCCTCTCCGATGGGCTCATACTCGCTTCCCGTCTGCACGCTGTAATTTGCGCCGTTTTTCCACATGTTCCGCCGTTTAGTTTACTGTTCTGCACCAACCAGAACCCCGCTGCTTGCTAGCGGAGCCGTCAATTCATGTACCCGGCTCTCATACCACCGGCTTCAGAGAGACTCAAGCAAACATAAACATCGCTAATCACGTGATTATAAAAGAAGGTCACATGTCCACTAATGTTACACGTCACAGACCAAACAGCCGAAGTCTCGGTCGCTTAGAAATGACGTACTGTAAAAGCGTGTTCGTGTGGCTGTCGGCTGGAGAGGGTGATCTGTGACAGTTTATTTAGTTTTTATTATAAATCTAAAAGTTATGTTTTGAGTGTGTTGAATAACACGGTTTAAGCTCTGTGGCTAATCAATCTTGTAGTTTATTATCAAGTGTAGATAACAGTGTGCAGCTAAAAAATGCATTTATATACATTTTGTGTATGAATTCATGAAAAGGTTGTCAATTATTCCTTTTGTCTCATTGGACACTTGTACAGGGCATGCCTTTATCTCTCTCTCTCTCTCTCTCTCTCTCTCTTTGACCAACAGATCTGGCAGACTTTTGTTCCTGTTGCAGAAACATCACAGTTGTATCTCTCTGTCTCAGAATTTAAACCAATTTGCAAGAATTTATCTCCAGTGCTCCTCTGTTGTCCATTCTCAGAAAGCCATGACTGACCAACCACAGACTGATTTGGGGCTCTACAAGCCCCCCCATGACAGAACTGGACCGAGCCGCTTTCAGTCAGACAGTCAGTGTTCCTGCCATACGAATACCAACCAGTATTCTCAACAAAGTGGTGAAGAGTTTGAAGAAAGTGGCACTACAGAGGCCAGGACTCAAACGGGTTGTTGAGGAACACAATGAAGATGGAAATAAAGACAGTAGAAAAGGAGAACATCGGCTGCTGCTTTTGGACCCAAACAGCATTACGTCTGCAGATTCGTTTGGCAGCGAGGAGGCAGAAGCTCTGAAAGCGTATGGGGTGCCTCAGGAGATCCAGAAATACCAACTGAAACTCACCTATGAGAACCTTAAGAGTGAAGAGATACTGCAAGCTGTACTTCCTGAAGGACAGGATGTGACATCAGGATTTAGTAGAGTGGGCCACATCGCCCACATGAACCTGAGAGACCACCAGCTCCCCCTACAGAAAACTGATTGGTGAGAAGAGATTATAAACAAATAAATCAACTTAAAGAGACACCCACAAATTGTCATCATTTACTCACCTTCATGTCGTTCCAAACCTGTATGCATGTTGCTCTCCAACTTATTTCAGTTAGTTGGCAAGGCAACATTTTAAATTTTCATTTAGTTCTTCATCTAATATTTACATTTTATTTTATTTCAGCTTTATGTCAAGTAACAAAGTGTAGTGTGTAGTTTTAGGTTTAGTTAACAATAATAACCCTGGTTTGGAATGACATGATATTTTTGGGTGAACTATCCCTTTATGTTTAAACCTTTTTATGGACTTTTGGTGTTTTGTTCCAGGTCAAGTAATCATAGATAAGAACCCCGGCGTTACTTGCGTGGTCAACAAGACCAACACCATTGATTCCACTTACAGGAACTTCCAAATGGAGGTTTTGGCAGGAGAAAGCAACATGGTGGCAAAAGTTCCCCCTACAGAAAACTGATTGGTGAGAAGAGATTATAAACAAATAAATCAACTTAAAGAGACACCCACAAATTGTCATCATTTACTCACCTTCATGTCGTTCCAAACCTGTATGCATGTTGCTCTCCAACTTATTTCAGTTAGTTGGCAAGGCAACATTTAAAATTTTCATTTAGTTCTTCATCTAATATTTACATTTTATTTTATTTCAGCTTTATGTCAAGTAACAAAGTGTAGTGTGTAGTTTTAGGTTTAGTTAACAATAATAACCCTGGTTTGGAATGACATGATATTTTTGGGTGAACTATCCCTTTATGTTTAAACCTTTTTATGGACTTTTGGTGTTTTGTTCCAGGTCAAGTAATCATAGATAAGAACCCCGGCGTTACTTGCGTGGTCAACAAGACCAACACCATTGATTCCACTTACAGGAACTTCCAAATGGAGGTTTTGGCAGGAGAAAGCAACATGGTGGCAAAAGTGAGTTCATCTTATAAATAAAGTCAGCATATTCACTTACATCATTCTGTAATGTTTCTTTTTTTTCCTCTCTCAGGTACGTGAGAATGGCGTATTGTATGAGTTTGATTTCTCTCTGGTGTACTGGAACCCTCGACTAAGCACCGAACACGAGTGCATCGTTTCCCTTCTTCAGCGCAGAGATACTGTAGTGGATGTTTTCACCGGGGTCGGTCCATTCGCGATCCCAGCGGCCCGTCGAGGCTGCGAGGTCCTCGCTAACGACTTGAACCCAGAGTCCTTCCGTTGGCTCCAGCACAATTCTAAACTCAACAAGGTTGACCGAAAAATAACATAATTTAACATGGATGGACGGGACTTCATCCGAGGACCTGTACGGGAGCGCCTGCCTGCTCTAATGAAGGGATCACAAAAGATTCATGTGGTGATGAACCTTCCCGCACTGGCTCTAGAGTACCTTGATGCTTTCAGAGGTTTGCTGGGCCCAGAGCCAGACCAGAGTCTTTTCTGTCCGGATGACAACTTGCCACAGGTGCATTGCTACGGGTTCTCCAAGGAAGATGACGCTTAGAGGGATGTAGTGGAGTGGGCAGAGGCGAGTTTCAAGATTTCCCTGCAAGGACGGTGTTCTGTGCACCTGGTGAGGAATGTGGCACCCAATAAGGAGATGATGTGTGTGAGTTTTACATTGCCGAAAGGGGTCCTGTACAGCACACACACTCAAGACAGAGGTAAGAGACTCTCCCACTCACTAGTATCATTTGGCAGCAGTATTAAAACATGAAATAAAAACATACACACCATGCCGTAGTATTGATGGCAGGTCATTTCAGCTATGCTAAAATGTGTCTCTCTTTCTCCATAGATATTTCAGAGGAGCCGTGTCCTAAGAAACAGAAGTGTGAGGATCTGACAGACTGAATACACTCTGTGGTTGTTAACTTGCCTGTTAATATGTTTTAGTTTTTTGTTCTTTTAATGTTTTGAATAAATTATCATTCCATGTGGGTGAATGCTGCGATCACTGAACCAAGACTGACATATAGAATTTTTGTGTGTGTTTATTTAAATGAAGCAGCATTACAAAAATAACAAAACTGATCAACAAAAAAAATATCTGTACACCTATTAAAGCGTGTTTATGTCACTCTTCAACATAAACTCCAGGGTATTCTGAAGCTGGCCCTCTGAATGGGTCATATTCACAAGGAGTCCTTCACAGGAATCTTTCCCATGTGTCCGAACACTCACAGCCTCTCCCTTTACTTGTCAGTGAGTCTTTAGGAAGCCTGATGAACAGATGGAGTGGAAGTGGCTGTAGTTTCATAATATCATGAGGGGAAGAGGCCACTGAAAGCATCCTGGATGGCACGATGGCATGCCAGTCCTGATGTATAACCACCAGCCTGATCCTGTGGAGATGCTGTGCGCACATGATTCAAATACCTGGACATGAGAGAAGATGATTAGTTATAATAGTGAATAGCTTAACAGAGGTTTTCAAACACACAATTTTGGCTTGGAGTATAATCTGGTTTATCCTCTAGAGGGAGCAGCTCTGTTGTTTTACATGCATGAGTCCATGGATTTCCCAACCACAACAAAAAATTTGTTTAATTTTCAAATTTATCAAACAAAAATGTCAGCTCTTCCTATAATTATATTTTTGAAAAATATAATGTTATATAACATTATTATTGTTCAAAAGTTTGGCATGGGTAAGACTTTTATGTTTTTGAAAAATGTCTTGCGCTCAAAAATAAATTGTGAAATAATTGAATAATGTAAATTAACTGTTTTCTATTTTAAATGGTCATTTATTCCTTAGTTTTGTACTGCAAACCGTATATTTTATGAACCAAAGATTTTTATGCAAGCCACGATACATTTTTTTGTCCAACATTTATTTGAAATAGAATTCTTTTATAAATAGTATAGTAACATTATAAATTAATTTACTGTCACTTTAAATCAATTTAACGCATTCTTGCTGATTAAAAGTATTAATTTACTTAAAAAATAAAAATAGAATAAAATCTTACAGATCTCAAACTTGGTAGTGAATATTATAAAAACAAAACGACATCACATTTAAATATATAAGAACATAATTGCTGTAGATAACTAAAATATCAATATTAATATGTAGCAATGCATAAAAAATTTCACTTCTTAATCCATACATTCTTCTCCAAATTGACAGCTGCTGGTTACCCACAAACCATCAGGACAAGCGTCAGAAACCTAATGCTTGTGGGAGGAACTCTTAAGATCTCACACCAGCCCAGCACCCCCAAAACTCTCCAGCAGCTGGAGTCCACAGCATCCATTCATTATGAGAGAACTGAAAATTACATGTAAACTGATACTACAGTGAGAGGAGGAGAAAGATGGAAATAGAGAGAGGGAAGGGGTGGAGAGCGATAGAGGGGGTCAGGTATCATCAGAAACACTTAAGCTCCTCTCAGCTTCACACACTTTCTAAACAAACAGCGATTACTGAAGCACTGAACCATGAGCTAATGCACACAGAATGCTGCTTCAGTTCTCCATCATTAATCCACAAACCACACTTATAAATCCCCAATGAATCACTGTTATCACTTTTTAATCCAGATTCAGAACGAAAAAAAAGAAAGTGGAACAAAATAGTCTTTAAAACTAAAAATGGATTTGTTAGCAGTAAATAAAAGTGCATGACCATAAATGGTCAAATGTGGTCAGACTAATTGCAAATTATAAGAGCTATTTTATCAAATTGTATATTGTCAATTATTTTCCATAAATTGTAAGGCTTGAAAATGTTTTTGTTTGTAACCAAATATTTTTTTGTGGTTATGTGAAAATGAGTTTGGGGTCAATAAGATTTTTGAAAGAAGTTTCTTATGCTCACCAATTTTATTTGACCAAAAATACAGTATATATTGTCAAATATTATAATAGTCATAAATACATTTTAAAATAACTTTCTGTTTTAATATATTTTGAAATGTAATTTATTCATGTGATGGCACAGTTTAATTTTCAGCAATCATTACGCCAGTCTTCAGTGTCACATGATGCTTTAGAAATCATTCTAATATGCTGATTTTGTGCTTTCACAAAATGAGAAACATTTATTCTTTTTATCAACGTTGTGCTGATTAATAAGTAGAATAAGTAGAAATATTTTGTAACAGCAAATGGGACTCGCAAACTAAAATATAACATTTTTGGTAATTATAAAAAAAAGTTCAAAACGTTCAAATAAATTAATAATTATATATATTTTTATATGAATGAAACTCTCAAACTGAAGAACAATAAGAGAAGTCCTAAAGGAAGAAAAGATTTAAAAGAAAACTGGAAGGAAGTTTGAAAAGTGACTAATGTGAGGGTTTGGACTATGACTAAAATGTTTAGGATATTAATTCAATTCAATTTTATTTGTATAGCGCTTTTCACGATACAAATCGTTGCAAATTTTACAGCAAATTAAGTTTCTACAATATTTAGTAGTAGCTTATCAGTGGTGACTGTCAGTTAAATGGCAGAAATGTACGGAGTTCATTAAACAGACGATGAACACTATTAACAGCAATTATTATATGATGCAATCAAACTTATAGCAAAATGTGGTAGTTCTGTAAGTTGTTTCAGGGTTGGCATCATCTGAGGTCCTCTGAGGGGTTGGCATCATCTCTTCTCGGGTGTTCTGGATCCAGACTGAAGCTTGTGTAAATCCTAGTTACCACGGGATGTCAAAGAAAATTACTTATTACCCGTGGCAAAAAAATATTACTGGCTGTCTGACTCTGGCTCCAGCTATCTTGATGTATCCTTCACAAGATGGACATGTTGCTGACAGCGCTCATGTTGTCGAATGGATGAGGTTGAAATTCTGACATTGAAGTGAGTAGTGTTTTAGTTAAAACACAGCTGTATCAGTGTTGACACACTGTGGTGATGATGGTGTGTGTGTTCTCCGTCAGAGGGATCTGCATTTCATGCCAGCCTTTAATACCTAATAGAAGTGTGCGTGTGTGTTAGAGAGAGTTTGAGAGAGACTTTCCGAGCACAGGATTCAGCACAGAAATGTTCCCCTCAGAAAGAGTAGAGGAAACTCTCAAGCAGCTGCTGGACATTCTGTCATTTTAACAGGGTCAGTGTCACACACACATTCCTCAAACATATCTGGTTGGCCGCACTGCTATGTCAGACACACATATATCAAACTGAAACATCCACTACGCAAATATCCTCATCAGAGTTCAGAGAGCAAACTCATCTACGCAGGAGTCAACAGAAGACCTGGGTCATTAAAACCTACTGGTCCGAAGGTATATTGCTGTTTACAGAAGCAGTGTGTGTCAGTAATGCATGAAGACGTGTATCATGGTTTATGTTGTAAAGTGAGAAGGCAACAACTAAGTCTGAATGAGGCGAACGAATACACACACCCATACACATCTGGGAGATCATGGGTGAAGATTCCTTGCTCAAAGGGTAAGCCACACCATTGTGAAATGCAAAATTCACTCAAATCTGTGGACTGAGAGAGAGAGTGAAGGTGAGCAAGTTTAGTTTGTTCGTTGAATTCCCATAATGCACCCTAGGGGTATGTTTTAAAAGTTCAGCTCTCTCTTGCTACCTCTTACACACAGAAATGGGGGCCATTTGCAAGCCAAATTTACTCTTGAAGCCAAGGCCAGAATCTTTGTTTTATGCTTGTTTGCATATGCAAATTTCAAATCTTACAGACAGGGAGAGGTGGAGGGATGGATGGAAGTCCCTTAATTAATTATCCTAATGAAATGTCTAATGAAAATGTGTGTGCTTAATATTTTTATGAAGTAGTAATTATTTTACTAGGTTTTAAATGATTGCCTTAAACATGGCTATATTCCCAGTACCTCTTGTTCTTTATTACCTAAATAAACAACAATCAACCAGATTTATGTAGAAAAACACAATAAAGCTACTGACCCTGTTCACACATGCTCCCTCTTCTGACCTGCTGATGGATTACTTCCTATCTAGCACAAGATGACTTCCTGTATAGCAAAGTGTGTTTCTATAGACAAAGTAGTCTAAACATTGGCACGGCGAAAGACAAGTCCTTGCCAATAGCTCTGACCTCAAGAAAATTATACTAAGAAACTCGTGAAAACTTTCCATTTAACATTAAAAAATAAAAAAAGCATGTTCACTAGTAGTTTCAGAATTTAGGACTCACTGTGCACAACACAAAATACATAATAAGGAACAGAAGTAAAAAAAATAAAAATAAACCACTGCAAGTAGTCAAACTGTTTGGAATTTTACACTACCGTTCAAAAGTTAGGGATCAGTAAGGTTGTTTTTTTTTTAAAGAAATTAACTGAAATAAACTTTCAGCAAGGACGCATTAAAGTGATCAAAAATGAAAATAGAGACATTTATAATATTACAAAAGATTTCTATTTGAAGTAAATGTTCTTTTGAACTTTCTATTTATCAAATAATCTTTAAAAAAAAAAGATATCATGGTTTCCACAAAATTATTAAACAGCATTTTTTTTAAAATTGAAAATAATAAATGTTTCTTGAGCACCAAATCAGCTTATTGAATGATTTCTGAAGGATCATGTGACACTGAAGACTGGAGTAATGGCTGCTGAAAATACAGCTTTGCTAACACAGAAATAAATTACTTTTTTAAATATATTAAAAAGGTTATTTTAAACTATTTTTACTTTTTTGATCTAATAAAATCATTAGAGACTTCTTTAAAAACATAAAAAAACCATAATGAACCCAAACTTTTGAATGGAATTCAATGTAACTTGTTGGATTATTTCAAAACTTTAACAAAACCTAATATAAACAGACTCGCATACAAGTCGTGTCCTGTCCAATACCAAATGCCTCTTAAACTAATTACCTTATCCAAATCTCTGCACACGTCTCCAAACTCACCAGAGACATCACTCGAGACTGACTGAATGTGTGTGTGTGTGTGTGTCCTAAGAGGGTTTGATGGGAAGATTACTGATCCATCAAGGGAGACTTGTATAGGCAAATTTTGAAATATATTTATATGCAACATTGTAAGAGAAGAAGAACATATTAAGGCATAGTTATCTCCTCAAAAAAAAAACCGCTATTCATACAACAAATTACACAGAGATGCAGCTGACTGCACTTGAAAACATTGTGTGTGGAGGAAAGAAAACTTCAACCCAATCACCTCCTTTCAAGACACACACACACACACACACACACACAGCTGTCTTTAATAAAATGCCCCACCCAATCTGTATTTATACAGGTACAGAACAGGGACGGACACCGAGGACGGGGTTCGCCTCGGGGGTGAGGTGGAAGTGAATACATACATGACCCTCCAAAAACACAAACCAGTCCAACATAAATCTCCACTAACTCACTGTCAAAACACACTAAGACAAATAGCAAAAAAACAATCCGTCTCTCTGTCAACTTCACACACATACACACACAAACACTCAGAGACTCGTCCGCTCTCGACTTCAAAAGACTGAAGCATTTCAAAAAAAACATTTCAGAACGACAGAGAAAAAGAAACAAAGAGAGAGTGATCCACCCTATCCTCTCTTTTCATAACACTTTTTCTTCTCCTGTCCTCTGCTTTTCAGCCCAAACCACATCACAACATCCTCTGCTGAAGATTCCAGTGTGTATCTATCTATCTATCTATCTATCTATCTGTGTGTGTGCGGGTTCAATACAAGTTAAGCTCTGTCAATAGCATCTGAGACAGAAACACACTTACAGTGGAAGTCTATGAGCCAATACTTGCATTTTTGCTCCATTGACTTCAACTGCAAGTGTATAAATTAGGGTTAAGCTTAATTTTAATTTAAAGGTGAACATTCTGTCAACAAATGTTTCATTTTTGGGTAAACTATCCCTTTAATACTATAGTCATCAGTAGCCTAATAAAAGTGGTTTTATTTGACATGAAGCGAGTTGTCTCATGGGAGCAGACATGTTGAAATGATTATAGAGGTAAGATATAGTAAAAAACATTGCCAGAATAAAGATCATTGCATTAACGACAGGCCCTTATATATACTAATACAGCTTCAAAAACTGTGTGTGTTTGAGAAGAGTGAGAGTGTGTCTTACAGAGAAAGTCAAACTTAAGTGAAGCGTGAAAACTGCAAGCATAGCAAAAATGTCTGCAGACTTCCTGTTTACCCTGGGAGCAGGGCACCATGGGAGATGTGGTTTATTTGTTTGAATAAGAGGTCATTTATCTCTGTCAAACACACACTCTCACTGGGAGAAAGGGAAACGAGAAGGTACAAAAAGTAAACGATATCCCTATGTATGCATGTATAATAAAAATAATAATAATAATAATTTGATTTAATTAAATGTAGTCTGTTCCTTGATGCCCATCAATTAACTGGCATACTGATAATATAATATAATATAATAGGTAATACAGTAATGCGTTAGTTAAGATGAACAAACAATAAGCCATGTATTTGTACAGTTTTTATTTGTGGGTTAATAAAAAAAATAAAGGTAACTTGTTGCTTATTAGCATGCATATTACTAGCATACTGGCTGTTTATTAGTACTTATAAAGCACATATTAATGCTTTATTTTGCATGACCATATTTTAGATCCCTTAATCCTACCCCATACCTAAACTTAACAACTACCATACAACAGCAAATTAGAAGTTTATTGAGGCTAAAGTCATAGTTAATAGTTAGTTAATAGTGAGAATTGGTCCCCAAACTAAAGTGAGACAAAATAAAATTGTCCTTGTTAGTCCATGTTAACTAATAGAGTTGTGGGGTATTTGGACTCAGGACTTGGACTCGGACTTTGAGTGCAACTGTTAATAAACTTGGACTTGGGTGGACTCTGACATTTTGGATGCAAAATTGTTTTTTTATTAATATTAAAATTAATATGAAATACATTAATAAACGTCTCCCGCTCAAACTCAATTTGTTAAAAACTAGGACTGGACTTGGACTCAACAAGGTAGGCTTGGACCCAACACTAATGTAGTTTACTAATGTCAACCAATGAAACCTTATTGTAAAGTGTTACATAATATAATATAATTCACATTAGCAAAATGCAAGAGATTGTTACCCTAATCGGCCCAACTGATCCAGTTCCAGAACGGGCGGCCCGTATGTGTCAATGCACAGAAGCTGATAGACGTACAACACCTCCTCCACACGAGACACAGAAGCCAAAGACACAGTCTGACCCTGAAGGAAAGAGACAGAGAGAAAGATGCATTTTTGCACTGTTTTGGCAATACAAATGCATATTTTTTTGTCATGGTCACTACTAAACAAAAATTTAGATAAGATTTAGATAGATAGACTGCCCAATTGCTTCAAACCCTGCCCATAAACACGGACAATGAATAACAGACATAGATGTAACGAATCAGCTCATGGGAAATATGAATAATTAACCATAATTAGATCATTTCTGATTGGACTGGCTAAAAAGCCATGGACACTTGTTTTACAAAGTCTATGGCTGTCACAGAAACCAGTGTTTAGAAAGTAGGTACATTTTAAACAATATTTAAAAAATGCTTAGAGCACCTAAAAATGTTACATTGAAAATATTATTTTCATTTAATTTTCTTTAAGTAATAATTTAATTTTACACTTTATTTTATTTAACACCTTTTGAGGTGATATTATTTAACACACTCACTGAGTTTAAAATGGAACCGTTGATGCAGATGACCTCATTTAAACAACACTAACACATTCTGTCTGAGATGAAGTCACACACACACACACACAAATGCATGAGTGCCAACAAACATCCCTCTATGGATCCAGATCCAAGCAGGGGATCTATAGATGTATGACAACATCACTCACTGCCAAAACACACACACACAAAGGCAACACACACAAGGGAGATTGAACTTGCTGGAGGCAGACAGAAACCACAGCATGGAGAGAGTGTGAGAGTGTGTGTTTGTGCGGAGAGAGGGAATTTCCATGGGAGAGCTTCTCGTTACTTTGGTTTGAAAGTACTGCATGCATTTAAACAGCAAAATAATGTAAAACATTGTAAAATAATGCCACACAAAATAGGGAGAGAAAAAGAGAGAAAACAACAGCAATACAAGGAACCAGAGCGTGAAAAAGAGCACTAGTGAGGGAAGTTTTATGATCTGTTAATTGGCTGTGCAATTAAACATTCCTGAGCGTGAGCACCCTAAATGCGCAGTCAAGGACCTAGACACTAGAAAATGGTTGGTTAATTTGGCAAAATTATATTAAGCATAATTTATAATTAATATGAATATATACACAATCATTCAAAAGTTTGAGGTCAGTAAGATATTTTTTTAAAAGGAAATTCATATTTTTATTCAGCAATTACACATTAAATTGATCAAAAGTGACAGTAAAGACATTCATAATATTACAAAAAAAAATTATATTACAAAAAAAAATTATATTTCAAAATAATTATATTTAAAAAATTATGTTCTATCAAACTTCCTATGCATCCTGAAAATTTTTTATCATGGTTTCCACAAAAATATTACACAGAACAACTGTTTCCAACATTTAGTAATAATATGAAATGTTTCTTGAGCATCAAATCAGCATATTTTACTGTATTTTAATCTAATAAATGCATAAGAGAATTTGTTTTTAAAAAATACTTTAAAAATCTTACTGACCCCAAACCTTTGGACAACAGTATATATTTTAAAATAATTTAGAAAAAAAAGTGGCTTGAGACCTATATCTTTCTTGCCATTCAATTCAAAACTTGTACTGTTGCAATGCATTTCTTCAATAAAGTTACTGGCCAGCTAGCCATTTTATTTATTCACTGAAAACAATTTTTCCTCACAATAACACCAGCAAACAACACACACACACTTGCAAGTTCACAAAAGCAGATGCAGCACTCCAATTCTACAAATTGAACACCTAAACTTTCTACATACACTCCAAATGTTTGTGGTTAATAATGAATTCAAAATAACAAACACAAATTATCTTGTCCGCCCAGTCTGATCAGTCCCAAACACAATTTGTCTAGAGATTTCCATGTCAAAACATAGAAGCCATCCCATCATATATTACCCTGTCAAAACAGCCTAATACCAGTGGAAAACTCTTCAGAACTCCAGTACACACACACTCCATTGTAAACCACTACCGCATCTTTACCAACTCAAAAATGAACATCTGCGCTCAACATTTATTTGAGGTGTTGTATGTATGTGTGTGTGTGTGTGTGTGTGTGTGTGTGTGTGTGTGTGAGTGTGTGTGTATAGAGAAATGCTGCTGATTCTGAGCATGCTGAGTGACTATAGATACATATTCACTCCCCAGTGCCCTTAAAACAGAGCTGCCGGCTCGATCCATCTTCATTACTGTGCGGGGGTAGAGAGGGAAGGAAATCCCTGAGCTGAAATACCGGTCCGGTTGTCTGCGCATTCAGAGTTTCACTCCAAGCAGTTACACACAGTTTAACAGGGCCTTGTGTTCAAATCAATCATATATCTGCTGCGTTTCGACATTCAGTGCCGTCCAGCGCTTTAACCTCACCCCTGCCTGGGCAGTGAATCAGTCCATATGTTTGACATTAACACATAGTAAACATGTTTTTACTAGGTGGACTTGAATTTAAAAAATTTTAAATAAACCATCACCCCTGGTTCTGCGTTTTAGACTTCTGTCTTGGGAGGAACAGAACATTTTGACTGGCACAGGAAAGGCTCTACGATGCAATGGTTCATTTGTTTGTTCATTCTGTGGGTGTGATAATTTTCCTCACCAAACCAACAAATGCCAGTTATTATTTCTGAGGTGTGTTGGTATTGCTTCTTGCCAGCATTCAGCTACAAGTATCAACCAGAATGTGGGACTGGATTTGGGAAATTCTGTAATAAACTATTCTTTCTTAAAGTTACTTTTTGGAAGAAGACCAAAAGAAGGCTGTGTTTCCAAAACTGTTATGTAAATCAAAAAATGTTTCTTGCACCAAAAAGAGTCATAATTTAGTTTCACTGACCATAATTTAATAGCATAAAATTAGGCTGTTTTTGCTACTGTACCTTTAAGAGTTTATGTAAATGACTATTATGATTAGCTATTCTCCTTGTACCAGTGTAGTACACACTGTCAGTCACCAGAGCAGACCAAGTTGACCATAGACTTTAAAGCTTATTCTACGAAGAACCACCCATTTAGACATTAAGGGCCATAAGATTGAAATTTAAAATAACTTTCTGATGTAACATTTCGAGTGAGTAACATAAAATCAGATATAACTCTATATATAACAATACAGGTGCGACCAAGAATATCTTCAGTACAAACTACAAAGTTCCTCAGTCAACTCTCTAAACATCTTTAAAGGGGTCATATCTGATGCGATTTCAAGTTTTCCTTTCTCTTTGGAGTGTTACAAGCTGTTTGTGAATAGTTAAGATCCCTAAAGTTGCAAAAACTAAAGTCTCAAACCCAAACATTCTTTATAAAAGTTAAGACACGTCCACGCCCTCCTAAAATGCCTCATTTAAACACGCCCCCACATGTCTACGTCACTGTGTGGGAAGATTTGCATAACACCGCCCAAAATTCACGCAAAGAAAGAAGGCGTAACTTTTATTCTCGCTGTTGTATTGTTGCCGCCGCCTCCATGTCGTGGAGACGCTGTGTTTCATTGTGAAAGCGAAACTACTTTGTTTGGCCTTCCAAAAGAGGACACGACTAATAATCAGTGGTTAAGTTGTATTTACAACTCTGTTCCAGAACAGTTTAACCCATATATTTGTGTGTGTGCAACGCATTTTACGGAGGACGAGGACTGTTTCCTGGGAGAGTAGCATACAATGCTGGTTTTCTGACAAATAATGCTGACTCACAGTCTGTAAGTACGTATTCATATTTAAAGAATTTGCCACTGATGATTCAAACGCGAGTTTTGGGCAGTGTAGAGTAGCACTTGTTGTTTGTCGTTTCTCCGATCACAAATGCAGACATGGTTTTATGTTTACGTGATGCAATGCAATGCGTAAAAAGACCGTACAAGTCATTATAATCAGTAATTATGTCCCCACTGGATGCTACAAATGCCTCATTTGTAATGGGTTTTATTGGTTTTGTCTCGTCGCACCGGGACACGAGCTCACAGTATGGTAAGGGGCGTAACATTTCCGTCACACGCTTGAGGTATTCGGCCAATCACAATGCATTGGATAGCTGGCCAATCAGCGTACACCTCGCTTTTCCAAAACTATGATATTTGTAAAAAAAATACGCGGATCAGAAAGGCCGGGCATAGAAAAACAATAGGAAAAACCATAATGTACAGTATGTGGAAAATAATGTGTTTTTTTAACCTTAAACCGCATTCATTACACCAAATACACAAAATAATGTTATTTTTTAACAACGTCATATGACGTCACTTTAAATCTGTCCCAGACCCAGAAAATCTGTCATAACATTTAAAATTATAATCTAAATTAAGAGTGAAATTTTTTGATTTCATTTCAAACTGCCCATTTTCCAAATTACATCAAACCAAACTATTTGGCACCTAACAAAGTTTTTCAAAAGTTTGCATAAATCAGTGTTAATAAATGGCTTGAGCAAAAAAATATCAGACATCTGATGTGAAGTGTGAAGAAAACAAAGAAAAATCAAGGTAAATATCACTTCTGAACAGAATATTTTTATTGTGCATCATTTTCAATCAAGCTGTAATTTTGTCAAATCATGCAAAAAGTGTGAAACATGGTTTAATTGCATGTATTGAGGATGCTATGAAATTAGCCTTTGCAAGACAAAGGAGACTGGTGTTTTATTCCAAATATCTTCAAAATGTCAGTGTAATTTCCATTACACAATGTGAATAACAATACATCATTTGAGATATGGAAATGACAATGCGGTGAAAATTTTCATGTCTTTCATAAGGGGAAAAAAATGATGTATGTATAAATACACTGGTGAAAGTTTGAAAAGCGTTTTGAGATTGCTTCTTTTCTAAAAGTCTACAAGACTAAAAGTGTCCGTAGTTGAATTAACACATATACATCAAAGTGTGCTTGGATCTGCATTTGTGTGTTGGAGAGAATGATGGAAACGAGGGTGGAGCAATAGTTGTTTGATTGCATCACTGCATCACTATCAGGGGGGATGAACCAACCTGTCACTCCGGTACATGACAGATAATTCTGCAGCGGAAACTGTCAACATATTCC